GGTGCTGGTTGTGGTGGTTGCTGTGGTTGTTGTGGTGCTGGTTGTGGTGGTGGTTGTGGTGGTGGTTGTGGTGGTTGTTGTGGTGTTTGTCGTGGTGGTTGTAGTGGTGGTTGTTGTGGTGGTTGTTGTTGCTGTGGTGGTTGTGGTGGCGGTTGTAGTGGTTGTTCTGGTTTTTGTGGTTGTTGTAGTGGTTGTTGTGGTGCTGGTTGTGATGGTGGTTGTGGTGTGATTGTTGTGGTGGGTGTGGTTGTTGTTGTGGTTGTTGTTTTTGTGGTGGTTGTTGTGGTTGGATTTTAGGGTGGTTGTGGTCGTTGTTGTAGTGGCGGTTGTGCTGGTGGTGCTGGTTGTTGTGGTGGTTGTGGTGGTTGTTGTGGTGGTTGTGGTGGTTGTGGTGTTGGTTGTGGGTGTGGTGGTGGTTGCTGTGGTGGTGATTGTGGAGGTGGTTGCGGTGGTTGTTGTGGTGGTTGTTGTGGTGGTGGTTGTGGTGGTTGTTGTGGCGGTTGTGGGTGTGATTGTCGTAGTGGTTGTGGTTGTTGTGGTGGTTGTAGTTGTTGTGGTTGTTGTGGTGCTGGTTGTGATGGTGGTGGTTGTGGTGGCTGTTGTGGTCGTTGTCGTGGTGGTTGTTGTGGTGCTGGTTGTGGTGCTGGTTGTGATAGTGGTTGTTGTGATTGTTGTGGTGGTTGTTGTGGTTGTTGTGGTTATTGTGGTGGTTGTTGTGATAGTAGTTGTGGTGGTGGTGATTGTTGTGGTGGTTGTTGTTAATAAAGAATTAAAGCTTTCGTGACTGCATAAAATGACTCATTGGTTTTTTCGGTAAAGTCACGTATGTAGAAATACAATAAAATTATATTAAAATAAATCACGACGTTTCGACCGCAACACAAGCGATCTTCATCAGGTGTAAAAAATATATAGCGAGGGAGCACATAGGGTGACATCAACGCAACACATAGAGAGCGTTAAACAGCACGGATGTAAATACAACAAGATGAGAGACGAGAATTCAACAAACCTAAGAAAAAAATACGTGTTGTTGGCCGACTGGTTTTTGCATCACGTAACGCTTGTATCGTCGATTCTAAAATAATGTATTTTTTTAAAGCTTTCGTGACTGCAGGGATTCATCTTCTGGGTTATTTCAGTAAAGTCACGTAGAATGGGAATAAAATAAGACTTATAACAAAATAAAATTCTCATGACGTTTCGGAGGCAACACAAGCTTCCGTCTTCAGGTGGAACAGACACAGCAAAATATTCGCTGTATTTTTAAGTGAACAACTCTGGAATACCCGAGATTATATACAGGTTAAAGGGGGGGAGGAGCCAGGTATGGACGTGGGTGGGGAGGGGGATGGCTAAGTTAAGACGCCATTTGTTATGCTGCATGGGGTTCGGGGGGAGCGGTGGTGGACTGCAAGAAAGCGGTTAAAACCACCTTTTGTTATGCTACAGGGGGTTCGGGCGGAGAGGTGGTGCACTGCAAAAAAGCGAGTACAACACCCTTTTTGCTGCAGGGGGTTGTAGTATTACACTATGTATTATTATATTAACCCTACCGTATACCACACTGCTTTATGTTCACTATACAATTACGGTACTACATATTGCCTTATGAATTATGTTAAACATTACACTGTTATAATATTTATTATTATGCAAACGCTATAAACTATACTATTGACCGTCGTGTGATAGGTACTAATAGGCAGTGCCAGCGAATGGACTTCGGTCTGAAAGTCACCGTAAAATACAATCAATCAAGAACCGAAATGGTTTGTAACGTCTTTCCAATGGTTACTAAGCCATAATCCATCTTCTCGGTTGAAATTGTCCCTGTGTTTGTATATGTGGATAGCCTCATGAACGAATCTCTCATGGTATCCGGATGGCTTGCAAAGAACCTCTGCCTTGGAGAAGTCAATGTCATGTTGGCCCACTGAATTATAACAGTGATCTGCCACGGCTGAGGTGTTCGTCCTACTGTGTTTCAAGTCTGCTTTATGTTCACGGATGCGGTCCGAGATATTTCGTTTGGTTTCTCCAATGCAGCTGCTGCTACAAAGGCAACTTAGCTTGTAGACGCCCGGGTAATGTATGTCTGGAACCACATATTTTTGCAGACGGAACCAGATCACGGATTTTATGTACTGTGTTGAATCGGACCTGGATCTTGTGTTTATTCAGGATTTTGGAGATATTTTTTGTGACCCCCGCAATGTAGGGTAAGGTGATGGTTTTGAATGGCTCCTCAAGAGGATTCTTCTTCATGGTTGGAGTGATGGCTTTGCGGATTGTGTAGTCGGAGTAACCATTAACCTTGAGAGCTTGGTGTACGTGCTTGAGTTCACTAGCAATGTGTTCCTGGTCGAAAATGCACTAGGCTCTATGGTATAGAGTCTTGATGAGGGAATTCTTCTGGGATGGATGGTGGTGGGAATTCGGTTTTAAGTAAGCATCCGTATGGGAAGCTTTCCTGTATACAGAGTGGCTCATTGAACCATCAGGTTTACATTTAATTAGGACATTCAAAAAATGGTAGCTTGCCATCTTTTTCGACTTCCATGGTAAATCTTATGGCTGGGTGTATGGAATTCATGTGGTCGAGGTATTGGTCTAGAGCAGGCCGGCCATGTGGCCAGATGACAAAAGTGTCATCCACGTACCTCTTCCATAAGGTCGGGCGTAGAGTGGCAGTCTGGATGGCGTCAGTCTCAAATTTTTCCATGAAAACGTTGGCTACAACCGGCGATAGGGGGGCCCATTGGGGTGCCCTCAGTTTGTTTGTAGAAAGTTCCTTTCCAGGTGAAGTATGTGTTGGTTAAGAAGTGTCTCACCAGGGGGGGTACATCAATATGCAGTCGTTGATGAACCAAGTCTTCAATGACTGCGATGGTGTCAGGTACAGGAACTTTGTTGAATAGGGAAACCACATCAAAACTGACAAGCAGGTCATCTGGGGACAGGGAAATACCCTTGATTGTCGAAACCAGGTGAGTAGAGTTTAGAACACCAGAGATGTTTTTTCCAGTAAAAGGCCGCAGGATTTCAGACAGAAAACGAGCCAGTTTGTAAGTGGGGGAGTTGATAGTAGAGACGATGGGACGAAGAGGTGTGTCTTCTTTATGTATCTTTGGAAGGCCATATAATCTTGGTGGCCTGGCCCCGGAAGGTTTCAATGAGAACTGTTTGGTTTGATCAATTAATGGTGTTGAATCATAAATGATTTTGTTGGTTTTAGTAACGAGGCTGTTGGTGGGGTCTAACTCTTATTTTTGTGTAGCTGCCATCGTTGAGTAGTTCCTGAATTTTGTTGTTATATTATGTTTTCTCCATGATGACAGTGGCATTGCCCTTGTCAGCTCAGACAATGTCATCCCTCTTTTTTTAATTGAGATAATTCAAAGCGTTCAACTTTGCTGATGCTGCTAGCTGGCATCTTAGCGTTTTTGAGGGTTTCAGCGATTTCAGATCTTGCTACGTCTGCAGCGATGTGGCCCAGGCCCTTGAGTGCCACGTTGACATGGGCAATGATATCCTTAACTGGTATGTGTCTAGGTGTGACTGCAAAGTTTAGTCCTTTAGGTAAAACGGTTTTCAGACCATCAGAAATAGAACTGTTACTGCGATTAATAACGACTTTGTTAACGTCTAGCTTTTCGGTGTGTGGGTCCGATTTCTTGTTGGAGAGGCGGTTGAATTTGGAAATCAAGTTGTTCTTACATTTGGTCGACAGTGGCAGCTGAAGAGGCAGTCATATTGTCTACATGTTCACAATCCGATGTGGACATTGTTGCCGTCAATGATAAGTGTGATTTGTAGAGTGTCTTGTCTAACTGATCTAGTTTGGTGCGCGTAAGTCTGATTTTTTCTGAGATAAGAGCTAAGCTAGTCCTAAATAGAATTCGTTTTGCATTAGAAGAAGTTACAGCAGCAGAGGTTAGTGTAAATCCGGTTGGTATTACCTTAGAGTCTCGGCATCTCTTTAGAAAGGTGAGAGACTCGATTAGCTGAGCCTTATCCCGGAGTTTGTTGAAGAATCTCAAGGTTGTGTGGAATCCCTCCCCGTAGAGGCGGTTAAATTTCGATTTGAAGCTTTCGTGACTGCAGGGATTATTCTTCTGGGTTCTTTAGGTAAAGTCACGTAGAATGGGAATAAAATAATAAAAATAATAATAACAGAACAAAATTCTCACGACGTTTCGGAGGCAACACAAGCTTCCGTCTTCAGGTGGAACAGACACAGCAAAACAAATCGCTGTATCTTTAAGTGAACAACTCTGGAATACCCGAGATTATATACAGGTTAAGGGGAGGAGGAGCCAGGAAGGGACGTGGGTATGGAGGGGGATGGCTAAGTTAAGCCGCCTTTTGTTATACTGCATGGGGTTCAGGGGGAACGGTGGTCCACTGCAGGAAAGCAAGTACAACACCCTTGTTGCTGCAGGGGGTTGTAGTATTACACTATGTATTATTCTATGAACCCTACTGTATACCACACTGCTATATATTCACTATACAATTACGGTACTATATATTGCCTTATTAATTATGTTAAACATTACACTGTTATACTATTTATTATTATACAAATGCTATAAACTATACTATTGACCGTCGTGTGATAGGTACTCCCCCCCCCCCCTTAACCTGTATATAATCTAGGGTATTCCAGAGATGTTCACTTAAAGATACAGCTAATTTTTTTGCTGTGTCTGTTCCACCTGAAGACGGAAGCTTGTGTTGCCTCCGAAACGTCGTGAAAATTTTATTCTGTTATTATTATTTTTATTATTTTATTCCCATTCTACGTGACTTTACCGAAAGAACCCAGAAAATGAATCCCTTCAGTCACGAAAGCTTTACATCGAAAAATACATTTTTGTTGTTGTTGTTTGAGTTCTCTATTTTTATTGTAGAATTGACGATACAAGCGTTACAATGCCACTGTCGTACGAGTACATTTATACATTTAAAAAAATAATATTATTGTTTTGACTTAAAACTTTTCTTGACTGATGACGACCACTTACGTTGCGATCAAAACGTCATGAGTTTGCGGTTTTTAGCTTTAAATTTGAATTTAATGTTTATTATTACATTTTTCTCTTTTTTTATCTTTTTTTTCTTCACGACTTTACTGACGAGGGTGGCGAGCGCCGTGCGTCGTGGCGTCTGCCCTCTGCGCTGTTCACGTTCACCTCTCTGAAGAAGCACCACTCAGATCCATAATCCTCACTGAGTCCCCCACCCACAGCCCAGGGTGAAGGGGCTGAGTGAATGTTTGGTGAAACGAGTGCAATGGCGCCATGGAGTCGGCGCTGTAAAACGACAGCAGCCCCGCATCCCAGTCCAGGTGGACCCCGACTCTCCGCGGAGGCTGCGGCACCGACAGTGCCGTCACTACCCCGCCATGCAGCACTGAGAAGATGTCGTCATCTTTCTGTAGACACCAGGAGACGTCACTCAGTCCCAGGTGGCACTCAGCACCACGCCCTCTCCGTGGGATCGTCCCGTATGCGACTCCAACCTGACACTGCCTCGTGCTCCCCACGTCCACCTCCCAGTAGTGCTGACCGGACGAGAAGCTCTCAGAGCACAGCGCTTGTGGCCAGCACGCAAAGCGGTGTGGGTGATGGGGGCGACCCTGGGGGACACCGCTCTGCGTCACCGTCCTGAGATCCGAGGAAATCTGGAGGCGGTCGTGCGATGAGTTTGTGTCCAGAGTCGGTGAGCGTCCATCTGTGGTGAGTATTCGTGTACACATACTAAAATTAGTTAGCATTAGTGTACACACACTAATATTAGTTAGTATTAGTGTACACATACTAATATTAGTTAGTATTAGTGTACATACACTAAAATTAGTTAGTATTAGTGTACACAAACTAATATTAGTTGATATTAGTGTACACACTCTAATATTAGTTAGTTTTAGTGTACACAAACTAATATTAGTTAGTATTACTGTACACACACTAATATTAGTTAATATTAGTGTTCACATACCAATATTAGTTAGTATTAGTGTACACATACTAATATTAGTTAATATTAGTGTACACATACTAATATTAGTTAATATAGTTAGTATTACTGTACACACACAAATATTAGTTAAGATTAGTGTACACATACTAAAATTAGTTAGTATTAGTGTACACATACTAATATTAGTTAATATTAGTGCTCACATACTAATATTAGTTAGTATTAGTATACACATACTAATATTAATTAGTATTAATGTACACATACTAATATTAGTTAATATTAGTGTTCACATACCAATATTAGTTAGTATTAGTGTACACATACTAATATTAGTTAATATTAGTGTTCACATACTAATATTAGTTAGTATTAGTGTACACACACTAATATTAGTTAGTATTAGTGTACACAAACTAACATTAGTTAGTATTACTGTACACACACTAATATTAATTAGTATTAGTGTACACATACTAATATTAGTTGGTATTAATGTACACATACTAATATTAGTTAATATTAGTATATACACTAATATTCGTTAGTATTAGTATACACAATAGCATTAGTTAGTATTAGTGTACACACACTAATATTAGTTAGTGTAAGTGCATACAAACTAATATTAGTTATTGTTAGTGTACACACACTAATAAAAGTTAGTATTAGTGTACACAAACTAACATGAGTTAGTATTACTTACACACACTAATATTAGTTAGGATCAGTGGACACACTACTATTAGTTAGTATTAGTGTACACATACCAATATTAGTTAGTATTAGTTTACACATACTAATATTAGTTAGTGTTAGTGTACACATACACATATTAGTTAATATTCGTGTCCACATACTAATATTAGCTAGTATTACTGTACACATACTAATTTTAGTTAATATTAGTGTTCACATCCTAAAATTAGTTAGTATTAGAGTACACATACTAATATTAGTTAGTATTAGTGTACACATACTAATATTAGTTAGTATTAGTGTACATATACTAATATTAGTTAGTATTACTGTGCAAACACAAATAGTTAGTATTAGTGTACAGATACTAATATTAGTTAGTATCAGTGTACACATACTAATATTAGTTAGTATCAGTGTACACACACTAATATTAGTTAGCATTAGAATATACACACTCATATTCGTTAATATTAGTCTACACAATAGCATCAGTTAGTATTAGTGGACACACACTAATATTATTTAGTGTTAGTGTACACAAACTTATATTAGTTAGTATTAGTGTACACACACTAATATTAGTTAGTGTTAGTGTATACAAACTAATATTCAATTCTAGATTTAAAGCTTTCGTGACTGCTAGGATCCATACTCTTTGGTTCTATTGGGTAAAGTCACGTAGGTGAAAATAAAATAACAAAAAATCACGACGTTTCAGCCACAACACAAGCGGCCTTCATCAGGTGAAGGGACGATACTGTCTGGAGGACAGCGCTGGAGTGGAAGAAGCCACGCTTAGATCACGACCTTTAAGCTGTGTGAGAAGAAAAAGACCAAGCGACTTGACAAAGGTATTAGCATATAATTTAGCATTGAAATGGCTCATTGAAATAGCTAAGTTAAAGTATACACATCCGCAGAGGTACCCCTTGACAAAGGAATTAGCGCTGGAGTGGAAGAAGCCACGCTTAAATCACGACCTTTAAGCTGTGTGAGAAGAAAAAAGACCAAGCGCCTTGACAAAGGAATTAGCATATGATTTAGCATTGAAATGGCTTATTGAAATAGCTAAGTTAAAGTATGCACATCCGCAGAGGTACCCCTTGACAAAGGAATTAGCATCGAATTTAGCATTGAAATAGCTGAGTGATTAGCTTATAACTGGTCACAGAAATAGCTATGTTAAAGTTAGAGCATATACATTCACCGAGGCACCTAGTACTCATCAAACAGGAGAATTTAGCGAAACACAACCACGCTCAGACATCGGACCTGTGTGCGAGCAAACAAGGTGTTCTGACAAAGAAATTAGCATAAAAATTAGCATTTGATTGGCGGATTTTAGGAAAGAGGTGGTGTACGTGCTGGTGGACTTGCAGTTTGGCGCGGTGGGGGGGGGGGGGGGAAAGGGGGGAGGGGCAGTTTACCTATTGATGGTGTGAAAAGGGGGGATTTATAAGAGCTGCGAAAGTTTGGGGTACCACTACTTGAAAAATATACTGTACCATTGAAATTAGTTTAATGTTAAGTTCCAACTAATAGCCTAGCGATAAAAACCAACAATCACAAGTTCGACCTCCCTAATCGACCCAACTAAACGTCCCTCCCTAAAACCTTCTGCTGCAAGACCCCCTAAATTATATGGTCTTCCCAAGATTCATAAATAAGGCACCCCACTTCGACCCATCATATCCACAATCAACTCCCCTACCTATAGACTAGCCGGTTTTCTGCCAGATACCTTGCTGCCTTTCACTGGCAAGACCGCCTCAGCAGTACTTAACTCTGCCCAATTGGTCTCTATGGTCAAAGACGTTGTACTGTCCCCTGACGATATCCTTGTCAGCTTCGATGTGGTCTCTTTGTTCACCAAGGTCCCAGTACCTGATACCATTGAAATAATTGAAAATTTGGTCCAACATGGACTAGACCCCGACACACCTGCACTGGTTAGGCACTGCCTCAACAATACCTACTTTACTTGGAATGGCTCCTTCTACAAACAAAAGGAGGGTACCCCCATGGGATCCCCCTTATCACCAGTGATAGCCAATATTTTCATGGAGAAATTTGAATCAGACGCCATCCAGACTTCCACCCTCAAACCTTCCCTGTGGAAGAGATATGTGGATGACACTTTCGTCATTTGGCCACATGGCCTCCCAGCTCTGAACCTTTTCCTACACCACATCAATTCCAGACATCCCGCCATCAAATTCACCATGGAAGTGGAGAAAGATGGCAAGCTACCATTCTTAGATGTTCTGTTTGAGAGGAGACCTCATGGCTCATTGGGGCATTCTGTCTACAGGAAACCCACCCACACAGATACCTACTTGAAACCTGATTCCCACCACCACCCAGCCCAAACGAATGATCTCATCAAAACTTTATACCATAGGGCTCATTGCATTTCGGACCAACACCACCTGACCAGTGAATTAAAACATGTACACCTGGCCCTCAAAAGGAATGGTTACTCTGACCATACCATCCGCCAAGCTGTCTCTCCCTCTATACAGAAACAACCACTTGATACTCCGGTCAAAACCATCACACTTCCATATATAGCAGGCGTTACTAAAAAGATTTCCAAAATTCTAAACAAACACAAGATCCAGGTCCGGTTCAACACAGTACACAAAATTCGTGATCTGATCCCATCCGTGAAGGATGTCATTCCTGATTTACAGTACCCCGGGGTTTACAAATTGAGTTGTACCTGCGGTGATTGCTACATCGGTGAGACAAAGCGACAGGTCTCTGACCGAATTCGCGAGCAGAAATCAGATTTGAAACACGGCAAAACGAATTCTTCTGCCGTGGCTGATCACTGTTACAACGCTGTGGGGGATCACGATATAATTTTCTCCGATACCAAGGTTCTTTGCAAACCCACGGGCTTTTATCAGAGATTTGTTCATGAAGCAATTCAGATCTACAAACACAGACAACAATTTCAACCGAGAGATGGTTTCAAATTAAGCAAACATTGGAAAGATGTTCTAATTACGAACTAAACATTAAACTAATTTCAATGTACAGTATATTTTTCAAGTAGTGGTACCCCAAACTTTTGCAGCTCTTATAAATCCCCCTTTTCACACCATCAATAGGTAAACTGCCCCTCCCCCTTCCCCCCCCCCCCCCCACCGCGCCAAACCTGCAAGTCCACCAGCACGTACACCACCTCTTTCCTAAAATCCGCCAATCAAATGCTAATTTTTATGCTAATTTCTTTGTCAGAACACCTTGTTTGCTCGCACACAGGTCCGATGTCCTGAGCGTGGTTGTGTTTCGCTAAATTCTCCTGTTTGATGAGTACTAGGTGCCTCGGTGAATGTATATGCTCTAACTTTAACATAGCTATTTCTGTGACCAGTTACAAGCTACTCACTCAGGCCTATTTCAATGCTAAATTCGATGCTAATTCCTTTGTCAAGGGGTACCTCTGCGGATGTGTAACTTTAACTTAGCTATTTCAATGAGCCATTTCAATGCTAAATTATATGCTAATTCCTTTGTCAAGACGCTTGGTCTTTTTCTTCTCACACAGCTTAAAGGTCGTGATCTAAGCGTGGCTTCTTCCACTCCAGCGCTAATTCCTTTGTCAAGGGGTACCTCTGCGGATGTGTATACTTTAACTTAGCTATTTCAATGAGCCATTTCAATGCTAAATTATATGTTAATTCCTTTGTCAAGTCGCTTGGTCTTTTTCTTCTCACACAGCTTAAAGGTCGTGATCTAAGCGTGCCTTATTCCACTCCAGTGCTGTCCTCCAGACAGTCTCGTCCCTTCACCTGATGAAGGCCGCTTGTGTTGTGGCCGAAACGTCGTGATTTTTTATTTTATTTTCACCTACGTGACTTTACCCAATAGAACCAAAGAGTATGAAACCAAAATTCATTTGTATTAGTGTCTACACACTAATATTAGTTTGTATGAGTGTACACAAACGAATATTCGTTTGTATTAGTGTACACACACTAACAGTAGTTAGTATTAATGTACACACACTAATATTACTTACTAATAGAATACACACAATA